CACACACACACACACACACACACACACACACACACACACACACACACCAAAGTACCTCCCACTAGCCTCTACTTGTCCTCGGGAACCTGTGTTAACCTGATATTGACCACACAGTGACTATAAATATGAGGAGGTGCAGAAGGGATGGAGAGGAAGCTTAGAAGTAACCGTAGGGGAAAGATTGAGCTAGCGTTAGTGTTCAACCCCTGGGTTTATGTCTGCTTTTAATTAGAGCTGAACACAATTATTGTATAGTTGACAACCCAAATGGAGTCATGGATTATTATTTTTTTATTTGGCAAAACACAGGTCACAGATGTGCTTAGTCTGGGCATAAGTTGGGCTCGGTGGTCTCAGTGGTTGTGTGTTTTGTGCCTTTGTTCTGGTGGTAGCCGTGGCTGGAGGCATTATGTTTTCAGGGTGTCTATTTTATTTTTTAAACTATTCACAAACCCAAATGAAGACAAAATAAAGCCTTATTCCTCGCTCGGAGGCATTTGAAGCGGACGGATGAAGGCTTTTTTACACCAGGTTGTCAGCAACCCGATCAAAGTAAAATGTGTGTTTTGACAGGAAGCTGAGACAGAAAACAATCTGAAGTTTACCAGCATCTCTATCTGTGAGTCTGTTGATGTTATTGACAGGATAGCTGATGAGAAGGGTTAAATGCCACATACAGTAGTAATGTGGAGACACACGTTGATAGCGGTGCTCGATGCCCAGAAGTAACGATTAAAAACATCTGAAGTGCACTGTGCCTGGAAGCTCTCCTGAGCTTACAATATAGTTATAGTCTTGAGTGGGAATAACGTGTTGTGGTGGAAGAGGAACAGAGACAGACTTGGCAGCGTGTAACTTTTCATTTTGCTGAAAATGGACACATCATTGCACTCACACTTGACACGGTGACACTCTCAGACAATCGCAAGCTTCAGGTTCGCTTTTTGCTCGTACTCTCTGACATCCCGCAGTTTTGATGTGCTTTACAGCGCAGCACATCTGTCAGTCCCCCTCATTATTATCATTACAATTCTGCCTCGGCTTCTGTCCATCACATCACGGCCATTTCTGTCTTTCTCGCTGCGTGCTTTGGCTCCGTCTATGCAGTCTCACCTCTCCCTCTCCCTCTCCCACTCCCACTCCCTCTCCCTCTCATGCTCAGGATGCGGTGTCATTTTGCTTGGCAGGTCTTTGAGTCTCCTGTCAAAGAGAACAGAGGCAAAGTCCTAATCTCTCGTCTGTCTGTCGGTCCTTTCTTTCCAACTCTGCTTTTTTAAGAGACTCAGCAACACTATGTTGAATTTGTCTGACCATTTTTCTTGCTGTCATTCTTTCAGATGTTCTTTTTTAAGAATTTCTCCCACGTGTGTGTGTGTGTGTGTGTGTGTGTGTGTGTGTGTGCGTGTGCGCGTGTGTGTGTGTTTATCTGGAAGCAATAGCCTTGTAAGTGATAAATACTAGCTATAAGTAGTCAGCAAATTAACAGGTTTTACACTCATGACAGAGAGGTGTAAGTGCTGAGACAGAAGAGGGGGTAGGAGATGAGGAGATAAGGAGATGACAGGTAACAATAAGCCGGTTAGAAGGAAAAGCAAAAAGAAGTCAGAGGACATTTGTGATAAGAGGGAAGAGAAGACGCCGAGAAAGATGCGTGTTAGATGGAAAAGGGCAGTGTGACAAAACACGAATGTGTGAGAGAATGGTTGTGCCGAATACTTGGTGAGATATAGATGGGGGGGAGATAAGAAAGGTGTGATATTGTATAACTTGATATTATTCTTCTATCTGCCTGGTGAGGTCACGCTGGAAAGAAAGAGCACATATATTGTAAGTAAATCTACACACAGACATACACACATAAAAAAGAAAAGAAAAAAACTTTGGAAAATAAGTTTCATTTTTGATCTTTTGTCTGACGTGACACACGGATGTGGGTACAATTCAAGCCAGAGCAGATCAAGGCGAAGTATCAGGATAAGTGCCTCAACACTCAGTCCCACCTCAACAAGTGCTGCAGGGCCTGCAGGTGCATTAAGTGACACGAGTCCCTTAAAAAAGGACTCCGAGCTAGAGAGGGATCGACAGGCAGCAAGAGCAAGACGTTATCAAAAGCCCAATGAAGAAACTTCCAGTGAAAATCTGCTTCAATCATCAGGTTGGCCTTGAAAAAAAAAAAAAGATGCTGTCGCTGGACTTCTCTGTACCAGCACCTGCGTAAGCTTTTAGTCTAAAATGTTGGCATCACTCTGCGCTTTAGAATTACATTTTCATAATGTTGGCATCGTTGTTTTGTTTTTTCTGCTTTCTTGTGCAAAAGAGCCAGCCAGCAAATCACAGTGCAGTGACTCACATCTGTGTGTGTGTGTGTGTGTGTGTGTGTGTGTGTGTGTGTGTGTGTGT